GAGGAACTTGGGCATGTCTAGCCTTTCTTCTTCTTCTTCTTGGTCTCCATTTTCTGCAGTGATGTTGGCACTTTGGGATTGGTTTAGAGTAGAAGTGCACTGTCTAACATAGGTGATAGGTATTGGAAGGTAATTGTAAATATGTTACACATAGTTTGTAGTATAAAAAGACAACACCGCCCTGAGGGCGGTCAGACTGCCTGTGGCTGCCTGGCTGAGCAGACCTTGGCTGGGCAGAAAGAAAATTTTATAGATAAGAATCAATAAACAACTTCAAGATTGAAAACTGAAGAGTCCAGACTTGTTCTTCAGCTGCGCAGGCCGAAACAGAGACATCCCGCACATCTCGGGGCAGCAATTAACACCTAAGCTCCAACAGGGGTGTGTTTTTGGGGAGGCTGCAGCACTCACACGTAGTGGCTGTCCCACTCGTGCCGGCGCCGCAGGTTGGAGAGCAGGGAGAAGGCTCGGCTGGCCGGGATGCACACGGACATCTCGATGCGGAAGGACAGGAACTTGTCCTCCTCCAGCGTGTACATCCGCACCTGGGGAGCACAGGGCACAGCTGGGACTTGTTCCCACTGGGATTGCCCGTGTTTTGGGGCCCAGGGAGCGGGGACAGGGTTTAGCACCTTTTCCTTCTCTCTGGCAAGCGCCCAGTTCGCGTTGGCCACGAGCATCTTCAGCGCAGAGACGTTGTTGTAGCTCAGATAGACCTGGGGCAGGGGCAGCACGTCAGGGGCACGAGGGGGAGCAGGAGGAGGAGGAGCAGGAGGCAGCAGCTCCCACGGGGATCATCCTACCTTGTTGCTGTGGTCCCAGGGCACGGAGAGTGGCACCTCAGTCTGTTTGCAAGAGACGACGTATTTTCTGCAGCAAAGGAACAGCTTCCCTTGTGAGGGGACACAAAGCACCCCCAGAGTGTCCCTGCCCCCCAGTGCTGAAGTGCTGAGCCCCCCTTTCCTCCTTCCTCCAGCCCCACATCCCACTTGTTTTGCTGCTCACCGGTCCAGCCGAATTTTATTCCTAGCACTGGCTTCTCTGTACCTCCTTTCTCCATCCTGATAAATGGGAAAAGGCAATTAAGTTAATAGGAAAAGGAGGATTTAAAAAAAAAAACCAAAAACAAAACAAAACAAAACAAAACAAAACAAAACAAAAACAAAAAAAACCAAACAAACAAAAAAAAAGCCGTTTTGGGAGTGGGAAAAACACTCAGCAGGGAAGGGCTGGAAAGTGAAGCTCCCTTCCTTGACAGCTGCCACCCTGGCCACACTGCAGTGATGGTCAGAGATTAATTGTGATTTATTTCAGCATGGCCACCATGCTCTGATCAAGTGATGGGCACTGGTACATAAGGGAAAACACTTGTTGTGGCTGCAAACTTGAACAAAGCCCCTGAAACAAAACCTGTGTGCCCTAGCACCTGCAAATGTCCTCTCCTGGGGAAATAAAAGCCAAAAAGAGCAGCTTATTTTGAAGAAAGTGCTAGTGTGGTATTTTAAAGTGAGTGAGAGGAGTTTTCAGGGTGCCCAACTTCGGCCATGAGATGATCTCCATCACGGTGGGAGATCCTAGTTTTAAGGCATCAAAAAAATGAGAGAGCTGGACAAGGATCAGCCCAGGAGAAGCTGAGACGCATGCATGTTTTCTTTGCTGCTGTGCTCATGTGACAGATTTCCCTAAATATTTGGATCCCAGCAAATTACGGATTAGGATGCTTTGAAAGGTACAAAACGACCTCAACATTCCCTCCCCGAAATTACAGAAAAGATGAGCTGGAATTTGCAGGCAATACTCTGCTAAGCCTTGCATGGCTGCTAATACACCTCCCTCTCTGCTCAGGCAAGTGGTTTATTTTATCAGTTACACCGAGCAATCAACTCAATCCACCAGCTATTGAGCAATTGCATTCCCACCACCACAAAACTCCATTTGTTTTGCCGCAAATCCGAGAGCCCTCGGGGGCTGAGTGGGATATTTCCCCATGCCACCAGGCTGGGGAGAAGCCAGCCCTGCTGTGCTTACCCCTGGCTCAGGTGCCACCATAGGCAGCGTGCGGGGCTGGCCCTGCTGGTCCAGCACCACGAAGGTCATGAAGGCGCTGTTGATGTGCCGGCGGCTCACAGACATCTCCTGCCCGTAGGCCTCGGCGCTCACCCCCACCTCCATGCTGCCAGAAAGAAATGGGAATGAGGGAGCAGAGGGAGCACAGGGCCGTGGGGAGGGCGGGAAGGGCACCCCCACCACCGGCACCCACCTGTTCTTGAAGGCATTGTTGACAATGGCTTTGAGCACCAGGCGGTCCCCAACTTGCGACGGGCCCCGAAAGTGGAACATCTCGATGGCCCTCAGCGTGGGGTAGGCATGGCACAGACGGCTGTGGGGACAGGTGTCACACCCCAGCCAAGGCCCCACACCACGGCACCCTCCCCAAGCCAGCCAGAGACAATGAGACCCCAAAAAATGTCACCCCTGGATCCCAAAGCCAGGTGTGAGAAGGAACAATGAACCAACGGCAATGAGTGTGAACTGCAGTGAGTGTGAACCTTTCCCTGGGGTTCCTCAGCACCTGTGGGACTCCCTGTGCAGTGTCACCCAAGGGTGACATGCTGGGCACCATCCCTACAGTTCACCTGTGGCCAGACCCAGCCGCCGGTGTCCCCTCCCTGTCCTGGCTCCATCTGCGCTTTGCTGGAGCAAACATCTAATTTGGGTCCCCCTTGCCCCCTTGTCAGGTCACCTGGCTGCGATGGTGGCCACGTTCTCCATCCAGGCCATGATCTGCCCCCCGAAGGTGTTGCCCAGGTGGTTGGCGTGGGGAGGCAGCACCAGCTCCACACTCTCCACACGCGTCCTTTCCGCCGGCACCGCCCCGCTGCCGTCCCGCGTCTCCAGCTCTGCCACGGGGGACAGCAGGGTTCAGTGTGCTGTACGGCCACTGGGACCCCTCTCCCAGCACCCCACCAGCCCCTGTCTGTCACCCTGATTTTTTTAATTTTTTCTAAGCCTTCTGATGTTGACATTCTTGTAATGAACTTTCTCGCACACTTTATGCAAATAACTTACTGTTTTTGCATTCTTTTATGGAGGATAAATTTGATGGACTGTTGGTTTGTCCAGTGTCATTGGAGAGGTGGCACTTTCACCCTCCAATCCACTGTCACTTTTGGAAATCTATAAATGTTGGAGGCAGAAAATAAAAAGTCCCTTTTTTTCCTTGGAAAGAGCAGCGAGTCCGCGTTATGTTGTCTCATGTCCTATAGTGACACTTGTCCCTCTCCCCACAGCTGCCCTCCCACTCCACCACCCCCCAAACCTCCAGGCCTGGCAGTCTGGGATGGTGGTGCTGATCCCACCATGGCCAGGGCATTCCCAAACCTCCACGTGGTGATCACCCCAGCACGCTGCTGAGGAGTGGGATGTCACCAGAGGGCATCAGGGCTATTTTGGAAGCAAACGGGGCACGGTACCAGTTTCCTGGGGGCTGCTGGTGAGCAGGTCCTTGAGGGTGTCCTTGTGCACCAGGCGCATGCGGCGGCGCTCGGCGGCGATGCTGTACTCGATCTTCTCCTCCTCTGTCTGTGGGATCACAGGCTCCAGCCTCACCTGCAGAGGGATGGGGCAGGGATAAGGGAGCAGCAGCGAGCAGGTGCCCTCCATGCCCAGAGCAAGGCCCAGAGCCACCCACTGTCCATCCCCCAAGCATGGGACAGAGCATCACTGACCCATGGAGAAACAGCAATGATGGAAAGCTGACCCAGCCCAGCCTCACAGAGGCCATTTCCTCACTGCCTCTGTGTGAGGCAGGCGTCAGAGTGCCCCCACCAGCAGCCACTGCTCACCTTGCTGCCCATGGGGCCCTGTGCCACAAAGGTGGCGTACGCCTTGCAGATGCTGCAGTGCTTCCCGCTGCACAGGTCTTCATAGCTCACCTGGATGCCCACCTGGGAGAGGGCACAGCACCCCTGAGAACTGGCTCTGCTCACCAGGAACCCACATCCCACCATGAGAGAGCCAGAGCCAGCCAAAAACGATGGACACATGGGATTAAAGCTGGGAATTGTGGGAGGATTTGGGGATTTGGCCACGGGCACACAGCAAGGGGGACAGGGGCAGGGGCACACACCAACCTCCATGCTGGAGTTAAAGGCTCGGTTCACTTTGGCTTTGATGTTGACAACTTGCCCGACGCTGAAAAACAGGAAGAGGAGAAAGGGTCTGGGGTTACTGGGGGAGAACAGCAACCAAGCAGCTGCCTCTGAGGTGCCACGGCATTCCAGCTCACTGCCCGCTGTGGTGAGGCTCCCTGGGACTGTGGGACATGCCAGGTGGCCAGCAGGACATGGGGACAGCCACCCCTGAATGTGAGAGCAGTGAGATGTGAGCCCTGAGCAGCTGTGTGCAAGTGGGACCCAGGTCTGGGGTGACACCCAAGGGGTGCCCAAGGCTTGCTTGGCACCCCTGCCCATGTGGGCATGCACGTTCCTGCCAGAGCAAACGGCTCCTCCAGCCTTGCGTCCACTGTCCTGCACACAGGACCAGCCATGGGGCCTCCCCACAAGCAATGGACACCTTGGGATAACGGGAGGTGGCAGGAGGCAGGGCCAGCCAGGGGCATTCTGCACCATCTCTGAAATGAAACAGCTGGCAGCTGCTCCCCTCTGTGCCTTCAGCAGGCTTCAGAGTACACACACAGACCCTGCAGCCTGAGCCACTCCAGACTGGCACCCATGGAATGAGCAAATTAAATTTTTTAGTGATGCCGACAGCAGTCTGCACCAAATAACATTTTTAAATCAGGAATATTCCTCATTCCCCAAAAGAGACCAGTGCTAGGAAACTCAGTGGAAAAATAAACCCTGTAACCACCAGTTCTCCAAACCCTGTGCCCTCACACGTGCCTTCAGGCTCCAGATGAGCTCTGTGAGTGTCACAATGTGCACGTTGGCTCTGGCTGGAGCAGGAGTGGCAGGAGCTGGCGCCTCTGGCCGTCCCCCAGCACGCACCCTGGCATGCCAGGAGGTTAGCAGGGTTAGGTGAGCAGCCCCTGTTGACATGCCATGCCTGGTCAGTGGGGTTAGGGCTCCCAACTCACGGCAGCACTGTGCTAGGCTGGCTGCTCTAGGGCCAAACACGTCCGTACCCGAGCGCGCTCCTCCCGTCCCGCTGCCCAGCAGGGCTGGCAGACGGCTGGCTGGGGCAAAGAGAGACACCAAACGTGGGGACAGCGTTAGAGGCCATGGAGGCAGCCAGATGGATGCTCTGGGTGGGCTTGTGGCGAGGGGCATGCAAGGGCAAGGGGCCAGGCAGGCAGGCTGGCAGCCCCACATGTCTATTTATAGCCCTAAAAGTGCTTTATCTTCTCTGTCCTTATCAAACAGTGCCATAAATGCCACACAAAGCCCCACTCAGGGGTAAGTGTGATCCTCCCCAGAGGCTGCACTTCCACACAGCAGGGCACAGGGACGGGGACAATCTGCTGCCCAGCCAGTGAGTTTTAAGCCAGCGATAATTTGGGGTCTCCTCCCTGCCTCTCGCTGACAGCACAAGGGCAGCAGAAGGCACAAACAGCCAGGAAGGAGATCTGACACAAAACTCCTCCACCTCCCAACAGCTCTGCAGGAAATCCCTGCCAGGCCCCTTGCTCGGAGCCTTGAGCTGGACCAGAGCAAGTGGGATCCGAGCCAGGAGCAGCACAAATTCCCTGCCCCCTTGGAGCAGTGCCCAGCTCACCCCTGAGGAGGGACAAATGCTTTGCAGGGCTTGATGCAGTGCTGTGGAGTGGCCTTGGGGCTGTTCTTCCCTGCTCCTGAAACCCATGGGGAAAAGTTGCCCCAGGAGCAGGGTATCAACTCCAGTGGTTCCACCTCCTGCTGCACCATATCCCCACACTGTGGATTTCTCATGGAGCTAAGCCCCAGGGAAACGGGCACCTCATGTGGGAGGGCAAAAGTGTGAGTTCATCATTTCCTGGGAATGACAGTAAAACCCAAGACTGAGTCAGACTTCTCAGTGCCAAACAAATCAGCTGACAGCCAGGGACCCCAGTGCCAGCCCTGGGTACCCACACTGGTACCTGCACAGCAGGGAATGGCTGGGCAGTATGGATCTTGAACTGCATGGATCCCGCATGGCAAGGCAGGAACTGCTGGGCAGCACAGATCCCGTATTGCACAGATCCTATATTGCATGGATCCCTATTACATGGATCCTATATTGCATGGATTCTATATTTCATGGATCCTATATTGCACGGATCCTATATTACATGGATCCTATATTGCACGGATCCTATATTGCATGAATCCTATATTGCACGGATCTCACATTGCACGGTTCTCATATTGCACGGATCCTATACTGCATGGATCCTATATTGCATGGATCCTATATTGCACGGATCCTATACTGCATGGCAAACCCCCAGGGTGCCCCCTGGAATGGCACCCAGGTGGGAGCAGACAGGCACAGGGGGTGTGGGGGCTCTGAGAGATGAGTAAAGGTGGGTGGCACTACCTGGGCTTGCTGGAGGTACAAAAGGAGGAGACTGCTTTGGGAATGCTGGGTGGGAATGCTCTCAGTACTGGGAGCCTGTGGAGGATGAGGATGGAACCCTGGGAGGGTTTTTGTCCCCTCAGCTCAGGAGAAACACTGTCCCCTGAAACACCACATCCCAAGGGCTGCACGAATCAGAGGGGCAGCTCTGTGGGGCAGCACCCAGGGGATGCCAGGACCAGCCTGGGATGGAATTTTGAGCGGGCACTGCCCAGCCTGGCACATCCCACAAAGCCGGGAGCACTATGGGCTGGGTGGGTGAGCCCTCTGTGCCTCTGCCACCCACACAGCCGCTCCAGAAGCACGGCCTGCAGGATTCCAGCTTTCCAGAGCACTAAATCAGAGCTGCTTCCTGAACAAAGCCAGGGAGGAGCTGGCGCTGGGGGAAATACCGGGAAGCCAGCGCGGCTGGAGCTCCCCAGGCGAGCAGACGGCGGATAAATCAGAGCAGACAGCAGCCCTGCAGCCTCAACCCTGGCTGCCCTGCCAGCCTGGCACTGCCCCTGCACCTCCTCCTCCTCTGGGCACGCTGCTCCCAGCTCCAGCCCCTGCCCACGTTGCAGAGGGCAGATGGGGAACCCCAGCGTTTGCCTGGGAATTTACCTAATGGTGTGCTCAAAATAGATGTCGTCCATGGAAGCCGTGACGCACGGGCAGCCGGCGTGTCTCTCGGCTGGAAAGGAAAAACAAACTGCATCAGCAACCTGCAGCAGCGTGCTGAGGGTGTGTGGGGCACGAGGGATCCTCTGCCCCATGTTGCAGACATCTTTTAGGAAAAATCCTTTCCGTAGGATTTTTCTTCCTCAGGAACAAAATGTAAACAATGGTTATCTGCTGCTGTGGAATGCAACAGGTGGATCTGTGATTGGTCTCATGTGGTTGTTTCTAATTAATGGCCAATCACACTCAGCTGGCTAGGACACTCTGAGCCACAAGCCTTTGTTATCATTCTTTGCTATTCTATTCTTAGCTAGCCTTCTGATGAAATCCTTTCTTCTATTCTTTTAGTATAGTTTTAATACAATATATATCATAAAATAATAAATCAAGCCTTCTGAAACATGGAGTCAGATCCTTGTCTCTTCCCACATCCTAAGACCCCTGCGAACACTGTCACAGTCCCAGGCTGGTGACACTGGTGACACCCAGCCAGTGTCCCTCTCCCTGCTGAAGCCCCTTGAATCCCAAACCAGAGTGGGATTTGGGGTTTCTCCACCCACAGCAGCGTGGGTCTGCAGATGTTTGAAGGTTTGGAGGGTGTGTTGGTGTTTGCCTTCCTTCCATGAGCTTGCAGCTGTGGAGATGCACCAGCAGCTGATTCCATCTCCCCATACACAGCAAATATTTCAAAGCTGCTTTGCTGGTGTGCAGCTTTTCCCTTGGGACTCCAAGAACCTCAGACTGCAAAACTGCTCTGGGAACCCCATCCAAATGCAGAACTGCACCCGTTCCCCTGTCATACCTTCCCTGTGCTTGGCTAGGCTGGTGAGCTCCATAGCTTCCTGCTGAGTGGAGGAGCTCAGCCCATGCTGGCTGCTGCTGGGCTGCCCCCAGCCTGCCCTCCCCATGCCCTGCACAGCAGGCAAGGAGAAGGGCAGCCCTACAGAGGAAGGATTTTCATCTGTCCCCAAGCCAGCAGGCATGCTGCAGTGCACGTCTCCTCCCCTCCTTGCCCTGCTCCTCTTTGCTCTCTAATTACTCAGCAGAACGCCATGACGTGGGTCCCCAGCTGGCGTCACTGCGAGGCACACACCGTGCTGGGCTGCCAGGGATGAGCTGCTCCTGTGCATGCTGCCTGCTGCCTTCCCTGGCAGCCAGCAGCACGAGGGCTCCAGAGGGACAGGATGGCTCACCACGGGAGAGGATGGCTTAGTGGAGGAGAGGATGACTTACAAGGAGGAAGAGGATGGCTTACCATGGGTAGAGGATGACTTACCAGAGGGAGAGGATGGCTTACCAGAGGAGAGGATGGCGTACAGGAGGAAGAGGATGGCTTACCATGGGTAGAGGATGACTTACCAGGAGGAGAGGATGGCTTACCAGAGGGAGAGGATGGCTTACTGGAGGAGAAGATGGATTACAGGAGGAAGAGGATGGCTTACAGGAGGAGAGGATGGTTTACCAAGGGAGAGGATGGCTTACAGGAGGTAGAGGAGGGCTTACCAGGAGAGAGGATGGCTCACCAGAGGAGAGGATGGCTTACAGGAGGAAGAGCATGGCTTACAGAAGGACAGGATGTTTCACCAAAGGAGAGGATGGCTCACCATGGGTAGAGCAAGGCTTACCCGAGAGGCAGGCGGCTGTGTCGATCCACTTGAGCAGCTGGCCGGTGCTGAGCTCCCCGCGGTGGTTGGTGTGGCAGGGCTGCACCAGCTGGCTCATCTGCACCTCGGTGGGGTTGTGGGCAGCCGGGGCGCTCGCCATGGCCCCCGGTGCCTCCTCCTGCTCCCCTGGCTCCCGGGCACGGGGTGCAGAGGTCGAGCCCTGTGGGGCACAAAAGCTCCGTTTTACCCCAAGGGGAAGCAAATCCCCTGAAGGAACCTGTGAATACATTCCCCACACAGAGCTGGGAGAACCCCAGCCCTGCACAGCCCTGCACACCACCAAACCCTCCCAGCCCTTGCCAAAGACAAGGTGCCTGCAGCTGAAAGGAAAAGATCCCTCTAAAAAAAGCTCCATAGGGGATTACTCCAGGTTTTCAGGCTATTTATCACCCAACCTCACTGCTTCCTCCCAAAAACCACGAAAAAACCCTTCCAAAGTTAATCACTCTTCTGGGAAGGGATTTTTCTCCTTGACAGCTTCATTTTTGGGGTGCTGCAGCACAGGGTGGGCTTGCTCTCCTGGAGCTGGACAGTGCAGCATGCCTTCCACCAACACCCCCCTGCATCAAAGGAAGCACTGGAAGCCATGTGGTACAAGCAGCAGAGGAGAAGCATCCTCAGTTTGGGGTTGTTAGGGCAGTGAAACATGTTCCTTGGCCATTTGCAGGGCACAGAGCAGCAGGGTGGCAGAGAGAGGAGGCTGGGGTGGTGCTGGCAGGGAAAACAGCTGATGGGAGATGTCCAGCGAGCCTTGTTACACAAGGGGTGAACTCAGTTAGCCTGGTGAGTAACTGAGCAGACACGAGGAGCTGTCTGGGCTTCGTCAGAGCCTTTCCTTCCGCTTTCTGCTCCCGCTGCAGCTCCTGCTCCCAGCACTTGTTGCAGGAGTCCCGCTGCAGCAGCAGCTCCCCTGCCCTTTGCTTTGCCCGGATTCTTTAGAGATGGGTTCATGCTGAAAACGAAGATTTCCCGACTACCCTGAGCTCGCTGCCTCTCAGAATAGCATTTTTCTCCAGCGGGTCTAACCTCTGTTTCCATAGCTACTGGTACACGACATCCCAGGAACGGGAACGGCACAAACCCAACCTGGGCAGGGACACAGCGAGCCCATGGCAAGGGTGGGATCCCCCATCCCACACTGAGACCCACCAGAGCCCCTCCAGAAGCCTCCACACCCCTGTGTAAACCTCCTGGGCTGCTTCCCAGCAGCAGAAGCGCCTCCACGAGTAGCACAGAGCTATTTTGGGAAGGCAGCAGGCTCTGGGGGACGAGCCAGCAATGCAAAAAGCTCCAAAGCCGCCTGCTGCAGTGTGAGCAGACAGCCTGGCCCAGCATCCCGCCGGTCATTCTCCCAGAGTGTGACAGCTCTCAGTCTCAGGGAAGGAGCTGCTGGCTGTGGGAATGTGCTGGGAGAGGAGGCAGCCAGGCCTGGCATCCCTTGGCATGGCCTGGGTTAGTAGCTGGCAGCACAACGGGAGCCACAGGTTAGTTGCACGGCATGGAGGGTACCTGGAGGCCATTGCAACAGAAGCTCAAGATGTCTTCAGGGACTATAATATTCCCCTTGACCATTTTTAAGAGACACCTGGAAAGGAGCAGAGTGGCTCTGGTTACGGCAGGATGGGCAGAGACGGGGTGGCTGTGTCCCAGCAGAGTGTGTGGCGGGTTGTCACAGCCTGTCCCCACGTCCTGACATCCCTCCCACACCACTGACCCCTCGCCAGCACCCATCAGGGCTGACAGGGAGAAGGGCAGAGCTGGGGCAGGTGCCTGCCATTCCACGGGGGTCAGCTCCCACGCTCACCAGATGAAAGAGCCCCAGCTATTTCGGGGAGCTGGGCCAAGCACACATTGCAGGGCCGTGGCCAGCCCCTCAGCCAGCGATGCTGTGCCAGTGTTGCTACATGTGACACAGGGCTGTGCCTTGAAGCTCCCCTGGCCGGAGCAGGGACTCTGCTGCAGTCACAAGACAGCCAGGAGAGTATTTTTGGCAGCAGGCAAGGCTGAGGCTGCCATGGGTGGTACTGGGGGCAGCAAATGGGAAGCACTCGGCTCCAGCAGTGCTGCTCCAGTCCCTCTGCCTGCCAAGCCCTGGCATTCCACAAGGGCATCCTGTGTCCTTGGGTGCCTGCAGGCTCCAAGGCTACGTGCAGGGTGGCTGCGTCCAAGCTGGACATCGTGGTGGCACTGCAAGGAAAGGCAGTGTGGGAGTTGCAGCAAAAAAAGAAAAAGAAGTGGAAGGGGCTTCATATTTACAGTTTGCTTTTAGACACAACATGCCAGGCCCTTGGCATACCCCCAGCTTCCCAGCACACATCCCCCTCCTACGCAGCTAAAACCAGACTGCTGGAGGTAGCAGCTCTTTTCCCAATGTATGGGATTGACTGATTTTGGCATGGGGTTAAAAAAGTGGAAGGTGTAGATTTTCTTCCTACACCATCAGGAGTTGGGTCATCCCACAGAGTGCACCCAATGTGGTCAGTACAAAACAAGACACAAACAGGAGCCTCTTGCAGCCTCCCACCCCCGCCCCAGCAGCACTGGGCTTTGCTTTCCCCAGCCCCATGACCTTTCCCCTAGCCCCATGACCTCTCCAGGCTTGTTATTGAGGTTTGGGAGCTTCCTGATGGCTCAGCTGCCCTTGCAGGAGCCCGCTGCAAGAGTTACCGTCCTGTTTAACAGGATGGGTTTGCTGCCCAGTGCAGGCACAAGGTGGTGCTGGTTGCTGGGGGTGGTCCTGTTACACCCACAACCCCAGCCAGCAGCTCCAGAGGGACATTCCTTGGAAACCCAAACCTGCTTCTGGCTCGGCAGTGGTGTCACCTTGTCCCTGGGTTGCGTTAGCAGGAGGGGGACAAACACTCAGAGCTGTCTGCTTTGCATCATCCCCCTGCTGCTTGCCAGGCAGCCCCAGCCTGGGGAGGGGAGCGCCCCGAGACCCAGAGCCACCCAGCTGGTGGGCATTTGTGGAGTATTTGTTATGGAAACCAAGCCAGCCAGTGTCTGTCCTCATTAAAATCTTCAGCCTCACTCAACTGTCACATTTTTAAAGCTGTTGACTGATGCAGCCCTCGGGTCACCATGGCAACGGGATGCAGTACCCAGGCGATGATGCTCTTACTCTGTCACCCCTCGAGTGACCCACTTCTACCCAAAAAAAAAAAAAAAGTTTGCATTGGGGAAAAAAATATCCCTTCCAGCAGAATATTTTTCTTGCCTCCTGCCACGCTCACTTCCTGTGCTGCTGAAGGCGTAAGGAGCCCACAGAGCAAACCAGAGAGGAAAACAAACACACCAACCACCCTGCAAATACTGGGGAGAGGGACCCCACAGCACCCCACAGCTCTCCTACACCCTGGCAGAGGGGTGTCCAACAGCACCCAAACACCCACAAGCTGCAGGGAATGTTTCTGCTGTGAAATTCAGTGCTGGCCTCTTCAGAAATCACCACTGTGCACAAACCTCCACTGCAAACCCTCGTGGGTGCCACAGCTCCCTGGGATGGTGCTGGGCAGAGATGCAGGAGAACAGCTGTTCCCCCAAATCCTTGAGCCCACTGACAGCAGGTGTTTGCTTCAGCCACCCCCAAGACGGTGGAAGAGAGGGAGAGACAAAGGTGAAAATGGGGATCCCAAGTGCTGGGCTTTGGGAGGGGTCTGGGCAGAGCAAGGCCACCCTCAGCTGCCCTCAGAGCTCCCTCACCATCCACTGCCACCTGTCAAATACCTAATCCCCATTTGTCCTCACCTGGTTCTGTCTCCTATCCCCACTCCAGCCCCTCGGTGTAACCTGACCCCTCCCTGGAAGTATTTAAAGAAAAAAAAAGTGGGGAGATGGTGGGGAAGAAAGCGGCGACAGTGAAGTTCTCATGGCGGATTATTGGTGTATAATTGAGCAATATCCATGGTAACAAGCAAATCTGCACGCGTTAAAAAATTACCCTGACCTACTTTGGGAAATTCTGCCATCTCCACAGGGCAGTGAGGGCTGTCCGTCCCCTGAGACCCGGCCTGCCAGCAGTGACAATGCCAGCAGCATTGGAGATGCCCAGCACAGCCCAGCCCATCGCCCCATGCCCACCAGGATGGAGCAGAGTCCCCAGCATGAGAGCTGCTGCTCAGGATGGGACAAGAGGCACTGAACTGCCAGGTCACAGCACGGTGAGGAAACACAGCAGCTGCCTGCAGTGTGGTGCAGGAGGGTGGCCAGCCCAGAAGAAAGGCCAGCACACACTGCAATGGGTATTTTTGGGACCACACATCATGTTTCCTTAGAGTACATGGAGCAAAGCAAGGCACAGGGCCAGGAAAGTGCAAACCGAGGGTCAAAGGCAAGAGTAGGACACAGGATGACTCCTCTTACCAGGGGCTGATGGTTTTCCAGCCATCACCCATGGGAAAGCATCGCTCAGTGTGAGCAGGAACACCTCCAGCACCCTCCCAGCCCTCCCCAGCACAGGGTGCAGCCCCCCCAGCCCCAGCCATGCCCACAGCCCCATCCATACCCCCGCCCGAGTGCTCTTTGCAGCTCCCATGAGGCTCCCACGAAGGTTGGCGCTGGTTTGCCGGCACAGGGCCGAAGTCTCCCAGGGAGTGTCCCAGGGGACAAAGGGACAAAGGTCTGGTTGCAGTGCAGGGGGTGAACAGAGCCATATGCCACCCAGAGCACCTGCACACACCTCCAGGGCCAACATTCACACGCATGGGGACACCAAGAGCACCGCCCAGCCCGGGCAGCTTTGCCCTGCCACCCACGGCGTTCCCAGGGAGGAGCTGCCATAACATCAACACCAGCACGTTCAGAGCACCACAGCCGGGAACCGCCACAGTGGAGACCAGGCTGCTGCAAAGGCCCACACCCTGGTGGTCTTCACTGTGTGGTCCCCGCAATGGGGGTCACCACGGCTGAGAGCACTGGGGTAGGAAACGCCCAGGTGAACACCATGGGGATGTGGTGGTCCCTACTGTGGCCAAGACCACCTCATTTGAGGCTGCTGGGGTGGCGACCACCATGGCATCGTGCCACCCACCAGCCCCAGCACGTCCCTCTGCCCTCCCCACGCCGCCACCATTCCCAGCATCCCTGTGTCCATTCTTCCCAAATATCTGCCCCTACTTTAAGTGAAAAGAAGCTGATTCAAGCCAAAGCCCCCAGCACAGCTCCTGTCACACCCTGGGCGGGATTTGGTGTCCCCAGCTCTTGCCGCTGTCCCCGCTGCAGCCCGAGGATGCCACGTCCCCATGGACAAGCCGCCAGTGCCCACCACGATGGAGCAGCAGCACGGCTCGCTGCCAACCCCAAAGGCAGGAAAGCACCACCCGGCTGAGCAGGGGGTCACCAGGGGCTTTCACCCCACATCCTTCCCCCGGAAGAGCCGCCCGGCGCCGATGCGTGCCAGGACAAGGCGGGAATGAAGAACTCTCTCC